GGCCAGCCAGAGCCAGTGACACACACACACACACACACACACACGAAGAGGCCCACGGCCAGCCAGAGCCAGTCACACACACACACACACACACACACACACACACACCCGAAGAGGCCCACGGCCAGCCAGCTAGAGCCAGTGTCCCCTTCCTCTTACTCCTGACACTGAAACTGCTAAGTCAAGACAAAATATGTCCTGTGTTCTGCCTTGGGCTCTGCCAACTGGGATGTGCAAATTGTACACCCCTTGTTCTGGTGCTCTGCCCAACCACTGGAGCTCCAAATGCTAATCCTGGCATAGCCACCTGTGGAATGGCGACGCATTGTAAGAGAGCCTCACTTTTCCATTGCTTCTCTCAATGGAGCAAGTCTGGCTTCCAACCACTAATTTCCAGCCCACCTGGACTTGCTCCCGCTGCCAGTGACCCTGCTCACCACTGACGGTTTCCACTGCTTAAAGGACGGACAAAGCAACTCCTCCTATTTCCAGCGTGGGCCCTCAACTTGTCAGCCGTACCCCCCACTGTGCCAGGCCACCCCATGTCTTGCCCATGCACTTGGTCTGGAACCCCACTCCTCTCCAAATATTCCCTATAGAAAGGCACAAAATGCAAGGTTTGCATCACACTCATCAGCCCCCACCCGCGTCCCTTTGGGATCATCCTTGTTCTGCTACTTGTGTACTTCAACGAGGTCAAGTGGACTCTCACCCCATTTCGTCTCCTAACCCTCACTTCCCAGCAGACTTAGCCACATGTTCAAAGTGAGATTAGAAAGCAATCCTTGTTCTTAAGATTAACAACCCAAGTTAGGGACAATACCTTTAGTTTTGTGCTGGTCCTGGGGCTCAAACTCAGAGCCTGGGTACTGTCCCTGAGCTTTTTTTTTTTTTTTTTTTTTTGGTGCTTACAGACTTTGCTGCTGGTGATCCTCAGATTTCAACCTCCCAAGTAGTGAGGACTACAGGCATGGGCCACTGATGCCTGGCATGTTTTATTTTTATAACAGTACCTACATTATAACAAAAGCATGAAGAACTCCATTTTATAGTGAGGTGGAACAACTTTAAGCCATTCAAATAAAAACAGGTTTAAACTCAACGCAACACTGTGCTGGATGCTTTTGCCGCTCCAATAAGCATCGAACAGTGCACATCCAGTGAGCAACCTCATAGCGATGGAGCAGCAGGCTCCCTCCTACCCAGGAGGATGGCTCTCCTACTTAGGAGAGCAATATCCCTCCCTCTTGGTGGGGGAAGGAAGCACCGCAGCAGGGAACAGACAAAAGGAGTGGAGGCCAAGGCTGTGTGGAGCAGGCTGGAGTGGCACGCCAGGGACTCTGCATGCCCACCTGACAGCGCATCCAACTGTTGCGCGGTGAAAACCTGGAGTACATTCCAAGCTAAAACTCCCTGCTTGTTTTGAAAGATCCCAGTTTTAAATCTTTATTTTTGCCAAGCAGCCATATAGTTACTAGGTTAAGGATACAGAAGCAAAGTTCCTTTCTTGAAGTTTCTACAGTGACTGCAAACACTAGAAAAGCAAGGTATATTCCGCTGAAGTGGCACTGTAGCTCAAGTTGTAGAGTGCTTGCCGTGAGCTCAAGAGCTGAGGGACAGCACCCAGACTGAGTTCAAGCCCCATGACCAACCCCCCCCAAAAAAAATCAAGCCAAAAACAATACCGATAATTATGACTTTACAGCATGTATAAAAACTCCAATCTAAGAAATCTGCTTTGGCAAGATCTTTTCTATCCCAATCTACAGGAAATCCTAAAATCATCAAAAAATAAATAAAAATCTTATTACAAGTTTAGTATTCAATGAAAAAACTCTTAATTTCATAATATTCATACCACTTTTGTCTTTTTTATTTAAAATAATATAACCAATTGACATACTTGATAACATTGTTTCCATTCCAGTGGTGCATGTTCAATGACTAGGGCATGAATGATTAAAAACCACAATAATGATCTCAGCATTCCCTACGAAGTGCCCCATTCTGTTTTGTCTACAGGAGAGGGAGGCCAGGAGAGGGGAAGAAACAGAACAGAGGGAAGGGGAGGGATGAGGAAAGAATGACACGAACTGAGAGAAAAGCAAACATCAAGGATCATACTTGGGTCTTCAGGTTCAAAGACCTGTTGGACAGGAAAAAAAGACTGTAATGAGAAAATAGATGTCACAGTCCAGGTAGACAGCTACTTCAGCTTAACTTCATCATTCAGCTAAAAGATTAACAGCTTCTCAAAAATATACCAAATATTGGGCCTACAAAAGTAATTTATTTCTTCGTAAAATTTACTAAGATTTACTCCTTTTGTAAAATGCAAAGAATGGACTGATATCACGAGCAGGTTTCTACTTACAAAAACAGACAGTAATGATGTCCACAAGCACATCTAACACAACTTTCCAAGGTTTACAGTGACAGGTTTTACATGTGAGCGTCTCCTACTGATGCAAGGTTGTCTATTTTACACACTTACTGGTAGGTACTGTCAACACACAGTGAACGTCACACTCGGTAAAGATCTAACAGGAAGGGCAACAGCTTGCTCCAGAAAGCATAGAAAAATTAGTGTGAGGTAGTTCAATAAAAACCTAGTTTAATTTAAGCCATCGTGAGAAGAGAACATTGTGCAAAATGAATCCACAGGTAGTAGGTTCTCAGAAGTTTCAGTAACGACGAGAATCTAAGCCAGAAAAGTGTTAACTCTTACTAAACTCTCCTTAAGAGCACTTCCAACTAAGAGCAGTTACTCTGAAATAATTAGGATGTTGGTTTTCTGACAAGTTTTCCAATCTTACCCCAGACTATACATTTCTGCTTGAATGCCCTTTAACGTTGCCATCTTTCTTGCAATTTATTAAAGACAAATGAATTTCCTGTAACTCAGGAAAACCTAAGAGCTCAGTAGAAACACGATGCACACTAAAACACAACAAGCCATGGAGGCAACATGGACAGGGCTACTAACGACGGGCAGAGTGGTGCTCCGTCTTCTACTCACCAGGTCGAGGGGCAGCATGCAGACACTTGAACACTAACGAATGTGTGACTAATGAACAACACTCACAAACTACAACAGTATTTTTGAAAATATACTATGTTTTTAACCTCAAAACGTTGTGCAGGCTAGTGCCTAGGCAACACTGACTAGAGTTAAGTCTTGGTGGTGTAGCAGACACTAGTCAATAGTGTAAACCAAGTTGGATTTGTAACCCAGAAATTGGCTTCACTTGCCTACTGCTGATTACTCTCTCAAGAGACTGGGGTCAGTTCTGCTTCACCTTCATCTATTTGAACAACATGGTGCAATCAGCCCAGACAGAGGAATAGAAAAAACTCCCAGAAAAATGCTCCTCTATACACCACCAATCTCTTCCGCCTGTGGGGGCTGAAGGCCCTTCTTGTTCGGAAGGCTGCAGGAGGCTGCTTCTCGTGGGAGCTGCCAAGAGCATGCTGTGCCTGCTCTGGCCTGGTGGTGGTGGTGAGTGGGGGGGTCAGCAGCCTAAGGTTCATGGCACAATGAAAACCATTCGGCAAACTGTGTGAAGGAGCTGAGGTGCTCTGTTCATGTACGTTACAATTAAGCAATCTCAACAACAGGATCTTTACAAATCATCAGCATACACTAGTAGACAAGAGACACATGTACAAAGAATGGGCATCTTTCCTAACCTACAGAAGCTGAACAATAATTAACAGCTACTATACTTTTTCTGATAGTAAGACAATTGGCATATTAAGAAATATAAAATAAAAAACCCAAATTATAAGAAAGGTGGCTTAACACAAACTGCTTGACAGAAATGTTATTTGTAATTTCTCTTCAAAAACAAATGTTTAAAAAGATGCTTGAAGACTCAAAAAAAAGTACCAAATATATATTAACATTTTTAAGTAAAGAGGGACGGTGTATTTAGACAATTTTTCTTTTTAAAAGTACAGCACGCAGCTTTTCATAAACAGAACTTTTTTTCACGACATAATTTGTTGTTTTTTTGTTTTGTTTTTAGTTTACATTAAGCAGTGAGTTTGTTTCCTTTGAATTCAACGGAAAGATCGTGGTTGGCAAGTGGGAGCTGGCATTTACAAGTGACACCGTCAGAACTGCTTTCCTTGCTTCACCAAAATCTGTACTGAGAGAGATGATTTAGCGGTAACCAAACATAAAACACCAGGGCACCTCTGAAAGCATGTCAGCTGCTAAAGTGCAATCGTTGACAACGTATCCTACAGAAGACAAAGCTAATTAACTATGAAACTAGTGGAAAATAAGAATGGACTCATGTTCAAGTTCCTGCTAATGTCAAGACTCCAAATCCTGTGATTCTCCAGCTTGCACCATAGTCTCAAAACTCAAATTTCCTAGTAAAATGAACACACCCTATTGTAGGAGTGCACAAAGAATCTCTACAAAAACCAAGAGGCTGAAAGTCAGGGTTTTAAACCATCAAAGACAAACTTGCTATTTCAACATATATAAAAAGGTATTTTCACCTTACATATTGCACATTGACAATGACCTAAAGGATCTTATTCAGAAGGAAGTTTGTTGCAACTATAGAAATAAAATACCAAGCAAGCTTTTAAGACATTTGCTGAGCTGCACCTGTCCTTACTCCTGCTAGTCTCATGTTCCAGTGGCTTCTGCCTAGAACCTTGCTACTCATGTACGCATGCATTTCCCAGTTCATTACATAAAATCCCTCTTGTTCCAGACACCACAAAAGGTGTCCGGGGCCATTACAGACATTACTTTAGAAATTATGAGACTTCAATGACAAGACTTAGGAAAAATTCAGTTATAGAGAAATAAATCTGCTGATATAAAATGTAAACAGTTAACACACACTTGTCAGGAGCAGCACCATTCATTCTTACACTATTCAACACCCACATTGCATGTTCTATCGAAAATCAGGTATAAAAAAATTAAAGACTTGGACTAAATGACCACCATTTATGCCTGCTCTGCTCAATGTGAAGAAACAGTCCTTAGAAAATGATATCCTACATATGGCTGTGTGCTACTATTTTCAGATGAACGATATATTGCTCATTTGATGTGTCACCTACACAAATTGCAGTAGGCATTGGAACCTCCTGACAGCTAGTGTAAATATGATTATGCTACAGGTAGAATCAGCTGGCCAGAACACCATGAAAACTGGTACTCAACTGACTGATCCTCCGAGTAGAGTAGGAAACCAGAAAGGTCCAAGGGCCTGAGGCTGCACTAAAGAGAAAAGACCAGACTCTAAGACCACTGCTGGGACCTACGGCCTGAGGAAATTAACTCTAGTGTGTACAAAAACAGGCTCATAGCTATTAGAAGGGAACCATCTGTTTATTTGCGTTGAAATGTATTATTCATGAAGTATCCTCTTGACTTTATGTGATCTTAAGTTTTGAGCATGCCACAAATGTGCAGAATACACCATATTCCTCAACTTGACTTCTTGTTAGTGGGGTGAAAAGATCAAGAAGGTGGTCACATGTGCCTAGCATCTCATTTAAAGACATGCTCTGAGTTATTCTGCATTTAAACGATGGGGCTTTTACCAAAATTTAGGTAGGCTTGCCTACCAATTATTTTCTAACTAAACCAGGATGGGCAAGTAGCAAGTAACTGGAGGTCTCTTGACACGTTCATCATTTACAGTAGTTATTCCTGAATATAACTGGCTACAGGTTATTTTCCCTCACTCCTCTGGGTTACTTCATTGATATGCACATAACCCTGAAGGATAGCATCATGAACAAACATATGAAATAAATTCTAATTAAAAAAACTATAAAAATCTTAAATAAGTCATGATATAGGCAAGTCACCACATAATAGTTGCTTTGATAAACAAAATCTTACAAATTCAGTAAAAAAAATCAGCAGCATAAGATAAAGCAAATATGCAAAAAATTTAAACCATGATAAAATAATTAGGTTTACATTATACACTTAATTACAGCAAAAAATACAATACAGTTTTGTTGCTGTTTTAAAATACAACTTAGGTTTTAAATTACATCACTTGAAATTAAAAAAAATAAGCTACTTTACTAAAAAAATGAATTCTACTTTTTGAAAAATCACTCAAAAATAAGACCACTGAATTGTTTTCAAAGTAGTTCTATCAATGACTAACCGACTCCCCATCCCTCCCCACCCTCCCCCAAGGCCCAAGTAGTCATCTACAGCAGCCCAAAGGTCCAGCTGAGGCTTCCAGACTGCTGTCTGTATCCGAGGCCAAAGTCGGATCTGTTGACATTGAAGACATATCGTTGACAGACGACGATGACGATGGATGCTGAGAGCCACTGATCACTGCTGCACCTGTGCTATGAGAAACAAAACAGCAAATCAGTTGCAGAGAGAATTGCAGATCAAGCTTCTTATGCTGTATTACCTACAGAATATTTCTCTTGAGTTTAGAGGGCTCAAAGATCACCACAAAGGATCCTGAATGCAACATTCACATGTACGCACATGCATGCACACACACACATTTCTATGTAAGAATCCAAAAGTGTTTAGAAACCTAAAGTCTTGTCCTTCCCACTTGTTTTTCAGTTTAAGAACTTACACACAAAGCTGTCTAGATTTTACTTTGTTGGAGAGGGGATCTCATTCAACCAGTGTCTAATAAAAGTTAAAAAAATCAGTTCCTTACAAAAAATGACTATGGTATCTTTTCACACACACACAAAAAGGAGAAGTCCAAATGATACTTGTGGTACATCTTGTTGTAAAGCAAAAGCTAACACAAGAATTAAATCATTTTCATTAGGAGGGACCTTAGTTCACTGCCCTACTGACATTATCTGGCTTACTGGGGTAACTCAAGGGGCCAAGGTAGGTAAACTCAAGTCTCTTTTAGTTTTAAAATTAATCCACGTATATTCAAATGTGGACTTATTAAACAGATATAGGACAAACATTTATCAGCACTTACTGGATCTTATCTGGACAGAGAAATTTTCTCAGGGGTTTGATTCACACTGGGGATGGGAGACATGTAAAAGACATCTAACATGTTAGGTAAGAAGTTTGGAACCACTAAGTAAGGGTCATTCAAAGTGAGAATAATGTAACTTACACAAGCTTTCAAAATCAGCACTGGTATAAATCAAACACTAAACAGAATTCTCAAGAATGAGGATCAGACACAGAGACACTGAAAGCAAACATGTGCAAGGAAGCCCAGCCTCCTAACTCAATAATCTCACGGTTTGAGATCATAGCTCATTCTATCTGGTGATGAGCAAAAAGCCAGATAAGAAAGGTTCTCTGAGAACTAGTCTTTAAATCCAACAAGGAAATTGGTGAGGTAGTGAGGATAGGAAAAAGTGTGAGAGCTGTGAAAATAGAAGAAATAGGACTTATAAGGGTCAGAATAAAATGAGATGGAAACAGCATCTGAATTCTGATAGAAAAGGGGCTAAGGGTGGCAATCTGCTGGCTCCAGGGAAGACCATGTGGTCCCCAACCAGAGCTAAAATGAGGAAGTGTCTATCTGTACTACACATAGTGCACCATAGCTATTTTCTTTTTTTTTTTTTTTTGGTCCGGTCGTGGGGCCTGAACTCTGGGCCTGGGCATTGTCCCTCAGCTCTTCAGCTCAAGGCTAGCGCTCTACCACTTGAGCCACAGCACCAATTCTGGCTTTTTTCTTTTTGCTTATGTGTTGCTGAGGAATCGAACCCAGGGCCTCATGCATGCAAGGCAAGCGCTCTACCACTGAGCCACCTTCCCAGCCCCACCATAGCTATTTTCTAAGGCTTACAATAAACACGTAAACCATAAGAAATAATTCTTCTATACATACTTTTTACATAGGTTTTTAGTTCAGGATCCTTTTCATTTTATCCAGATTTCTTAATCTAGTAAACATTAACTTTAAAAATTCATTATTAATTTTTTTTTGGTGCCAGTTCTAGAGCATGAACTCAGGGCCTGGGCACTGTCCCTGAGCTTCTATGCTCAAGGCTAGAACTCTACCACTTGAGCCACAGCTCCAGCTTTTTTTGGTGGTTAATTGCCTGGGATAACTTCAAATTGAGATCCTCAGATCTCAGCCTCCTGAGTAACTAGGGTTAAAAGAGTGAGCCACTGGTGCTCAGCTAAACATTAATTCTTAAAATGAATTTTAATGATAAATACCTATGAAAACTACTTGTATTCTCTGATCTTTAAAGCAACACAATAAACTCTCAAATGTCTGAACTATCATAATATGGAACAACCTTAATCTCAGGCCCTTTCGCCATTTCTTTCTTGGGTTACTCTTTACATACTTAGTCAGGGCAGGTAAAATCCTGAGACAATCATTTTTTTTTTAAGTCAAGTGGACATGGTACTATGACTAGCTGACACTTGCTTTATCAAAGGTTGCTCTTTCTCATGTTCTGCAGATAAGAACTGAATACTCTGATAACAGCATAAATTACAAACACCCTGTAAGCTACAGAAAACATCAAGTCCAGTCTTTTCCACTGACTTTATGACCATAAGAAAGTGTTATCTAGGATTCAAGTTATTTACTTCCAAATTAAGAAGGTATACACCACCCACTCTGTCTATCCCATGAGACCACTATGCTTATGCATCAGATTGTGCTGCTCACCAGGACAGTATGCCCAAGTATAAAGTTGTTGCAAATAATGGGCCTTCTACGTCCTACTCAGGCTTCCACCACAAATAATTCACTTACATTACTACTATGCAGCACCAGCGAATCCCTACCATAGTTCAATTTGTAATTTGGATTTTAATTTGTTATAAGGAAATTATAGAGGAAAGGCCATTTCCAAAATGGAGAAGCTGTTAAGCCAATTTATATTTTCAACAGGATCTACATTAAGAGATTCAGAAGACTACACTTGAAGGAGTTAAAATACACCATTCTAATAAAAATATAACCAAGATATCAAAAGGAGGCCACTAAAATTAAAGTCATGCTTATAACAAAACAAATAAGCATTGGAAACTATACTTATAAGTCTTACCCATAAACAAGATGCTAGAGATGGTATTTTTTTTCTTAGAATGTAGAAGAGAGTTTTTACATGGGTCAAAATAGCATAGTTTTTTTTTGTTTGTTTGTTTTTGGTTGTTTTGGTTGTGGGGCTTGAACTCTGGGCCTAGGCACTGTCTGTGAGCTCTTCAGCTCAAGGCAAGCAGTCTACCACTTGAACCACAGCAGCACTTCCGGTTTTCTGGTGGTTAATTGGAGATAAGAGTCTCATGGACTTTCCTGCCTGGGCTGGCTTCGAACTGCAATCCTCAGATCTCAGCCCCTGAGTAGCTAGGTTTACAAGTGTGAGCCATGGGTGCTCAGCCAATAACATAGTTTTTATATTCAAAATCAGTTAATTTTCTGTTGTTTTGAGGCAAGGTCCCACTCTATCCAGCCTGACATTGACTCATGATCCGCCTACATCAGCCCCCTAGTGCTAGGATTCTAGGCCTTGCCAGGATGCAGGTGCTAGCATACTGGCTAAGACATGTATGTATTTAAAAAAAATCAATCCCAAAACAGGCACTGGTGGCTCACACCTGGAATCCTAGCTACTCAGGAGGCTGAGGTCTGAAGATCAGGGTTCAAAGCCAGCCCAGGAAAGAAAGTCCTTGAGACTCCTATCTCCAATAAACCTCCAGAAAACCAGAAGTGGCACTGTGGCTCAAGCCATAGAGCGCTCGCCTTAAGCTGAAGAGCACAGGGACAGTACCCAAGCCCAGAATTCAAGTCCCATGACTGACAAAACAACAACAAAACCCCCCCAAAATTTAATCCTTGTAATTTTATTTTCTTCATGTCTTATGTCCCAGTGAGAAATCCTGAAGCATTAAGGAACACTGGCATTAAGGAACACTGCATATTAAGGAGATTTATTCATATTCTTGCTTTTGGTACAAAAAATATGCTTAGTCCTGGGAATCAAAATTGATTAGGATAAAATTCTTGGCTTCAGTAGTAGAAGGCTTTGAGCAAAAAAGCTCAGAGACAGTGCTCAGAGTCCATGACCTGAGTTCAAGCTCCAGGACTGGCATTAAAAAAAAAAAAAAGCTCTGACGGGCTCACAGGCCAGTAGAAGGTAAGTGGATAATTACAATGAGTTAATAATAAGCAGTAAGAGAAGTGGGTGCCAATACACTTCACATAGGAATGTTTTTTGAAAGTACTTTCTATATAGCATCTGATGAGGTTGTTGAAAAACACAGAATCTGAGAGTTGGGCATGGTGATTCATGCCCAGAAGACTGAGGCAGGAGGACTAAGTTTGAGATCAGTGCATCTTTTGGAACAAAAATTAGCCTCTGAAGCTCAACTCCGTTTTGCCTAGTCCACCAAACTGCCGAAACCTCTGTAGCCAGAGAAACCTCTCTGCTGCCAGAGGCAGAGGGGCTATGAGAATCCCCACATACTTGGAAGCCACTGTATGAACCTTTCCAAGGAACTGGTTTGCAATCTTAACCTTAGGCTCTCTTATGAACTTTAGTTTTCTTATCTGTAGAGTGTACATAATAATCCCTATCTTGCGGTTTTAGGGGAGGAGTGAATAAAATAAAGTACCAGTGTCTGTTATGTGGTATGTCCATTAATATGTATATATTACTTGCCATCTAATATTTTTTTGCTCTATTCTTTGTATGTGTGTCAAGATTAAGATCAGTTTATAAAAAAAAATCTTTTAACTCCTCAAACCAGATTTTTCCTTTGAGAATGAACACTTTGTAGCAGTGGCTTCATGTTACTGTCTTGGTTCAACAAATTAAATATATGAAAACGAAAATGGCAGTGCTGGGTATCACATGTACCAAATTTTGGAGAGAAATCTGTCTTATTCAAAGTAAAGACTATTAAAATTATAGAAAGAAGTATATTAAAACAGGTTTTCAATTTCTACAACAGGATGTCAGTTATCACAGAAGATAAGCATTTTGTGAAGTCAATTACCAGTATTTATCAGCACAATGTATTTTGATAATGAAGTTTTCTAATTTAGACAACTAAGTTATAATTTGAAAAATAATGATAGTGAGAAAAGAACTGCAAGTTTCAGGTCATTAAAGATTACAACACCAGGAGCTGGGAAGGTGGTTCAGTGGTAGAGCGCTTGCCTTGCATGCATGAGGCCCTGGGTTCGATTCCTCAGCAACACATAAGCAGAAAAAAAAAGCCTGAAGTGGTGCTATGCCTCAAGTGGTAGTGTGCTAGCCTTGAGCTGAAGAGCTGAGGGACAGCGCCCAGGCCCAGAGTTCAGACCCCATGACCGGACCCAAAAAAAAAAAAAGATTACAATACCAGAAAACCGGAAGTGGCACTGTGGCTCAAGTGGTAGAGTGCTCACCTTGAACTGAAGACCTGATGGACAGCACCCAGGCCCAGAGTTCAAGCACCATGACCCCACCCCCCAAAAAAAATTATAACACAAGGGCTGGGAAGGGAATGTGGTTAAGTGGTACAGTGCCTGTCTAGCATGCATGAATGCCTGTGTTTGATTCCACACTACCACATAAACTGAAAAAGCCAGAACTGGTGCTGTGGCTCAAGTAGTAGAGTGCTAGCCTTGAGCAAAAGAAGCTCAGGGACAGTGCCCAGGCCCCAAGTTCAAGCTCCAGGACTGGCATAAAAGGAAGGCAGGCAGGCAGGCAGGCAGGCAGGCAAGCCCAGACCTTTTCTCTCACAACAAAATCCCCTTGTACTATTAACATATGCTAATTAAAAATAAAATAAAATAAATTAAAAAAAGATTACAACACAAGAACAGAACTGAAATCTCAACTAAGCTTCTATTGGAACCAACCTAAAGGAGATGGCTGACCCCGTATAACTCCATTCTTGGTTCTCTCTTCTAAATCCATCACTTCCTTGTATATCAATTCTGAAAAAGAGAAGAGGAAAAATAAACGTCAAAGTTTGAGACCTAGTATTCAAGACTTTTTTCTAAATTACTTTATTATTGTTTTAAAGGTGATATGCAGCATAGTTACCTTTACATATATCAGGTGTTAATTACATTTTCTATTGTATAGTATCATCTGTTCCCTCGTTCACACCTATTCTCTTCCTCCTCTCTCCATCCACATATTGCATAGTTCACTTTTCTTGATGGCCTGTGCAGCCAGTGTGCTCCACTGCTGCACTTCTTCATTCTTTTTCCTCTGATTCTGTGCCCTCCCCCGGCCCTCCCCAAATGTGAATGTGAATATACCTCATGTAAGGTAAATAAAACAGTCATCCACAAATGCATAAACAAATTAAGAAAAAAGATCTCTGGAGTTCGTTTCGGTATATGTTTTATATACATCAGAAGAGGTGCTTGGATATTGCACCTTTGTGATTCTCTCCTAAGACTATCCTCTTTTTGTCTCATTGTATCTGAGTATCTGGAATTCTGTGTAATTTGTCAAATCCCAGTATGTTTTAGATCTAACTTCCACATATCAGAGAGAACATGAGCTGTTTGTCTCTCTGATCTTAGCTTACTTCACTTAACATGATTTGTTCTAGTTCCATCCATTTCCCTGCAAATGACATTATTTTATTCTTTCTAATGGTTGTGTAAAATTCCACTGTATATAGTTACCATATTTTTTGGACCCACTCATCTGTAGTGGGGCATCTGGATAGTTTCACTATCTTGGGAACTGTGGAAAAGGCAGCAATGCACATGGATGTGCATGTGTAATTATCATATCCCGGCTCATGATGCTCAGGGTAGATGCCAAGGAGTGGTACTGGCTGGGTCATGGTATGGCTGGAAGGTCTATGCTTAAGTTTTTTTGAGGAACCCCCAGACTTTCAAGATTTTATTTTACCAGTAGTGGGGCTTGAACTCAGGGCTTGGATGCTGTCCCTGAGCTTTTTGTTTGCTCAAGGTTAGCACTCTACCACAGCTAGCCACAACTCCACTTCCAGCACTATGGTTGTTAATTGGATATAATAGTCTTTCAGACTTTCTTGCCCAGGCTGGCTTCAAACTGCAATCCTCCTACCTCAGCCTCCTGAGTTGCTACGATTACAAGCATGAACCACCACCTCCTGGAAAAGTATATATATACAAATATATAGATATATACATACATATATACACACATATATATACATACATTTACACACATATATATATATACACACATATACATATATGTATATATATGCTGGCCTGGGGCTTGAACTCAGGGCCTAGGTACTGTCCCTGAGCCATTTTGTGCTCAAGGCTAGCACTCTACCACTTGAGCCACAGCATCACTTCTGGCTTTGTCTGAGCAGTTTACTGGAGTAAGAGTCTCATGTACTTTCCTGCCCAGGCTTCAAACCACAATCCTCAGATCTCAGCCTCCAGAATAGGTAGGATTACAGGTATGAGCTACCAGTATCTGGCTAAGGGATATGTTTTTACATCAAAAGTTTTACACAGGTTAAGTACTTCAAATAGTGTTCTTATAATAACAGAGGGTCTGTAAGTATCAGTCTGGGATTCCTGGGTATTAACAAGAATTCTTTGTACCTCAACTACAAATTATACTCAAAGAAAGTAAAATTGGTGGTAATGGTTTCTTAAATTGGTTTAAGAACAGTGAAGGTTATAAGCCTTATCGTTTTATTCTACCACACTGTATCATGCCACACAGCATTCTCTTCTATGAATGATTAATACTGTTTCACTGAGGGCTTGGACAAACATGTTTGTCTTACTTCTACTTTTTACTAACTGACTGGCACACTAGATGTGCTCAATCAGGTATTACAAATATTTAAACACAAAAGAGTATATGGAAGCTTCTTTAATCAGAATGGAATATAAACAAATTTTTATGAACTTAGCAGGTGGCTATACACTTTAGTTTTTTTACGAGTAACCCAACATGACATTCTATCACCACCAGACCACTCCTCCATAGGAATCGATCTTTGTACTAGGCTTGGGAACAAGAGTGGAACACTGTGAGGATGGATCATTACGAAGAGACACAAGGTGTTGTCTTTTGGTATAGGCACCTCCCACAGCATAATTCTGTTAGGTGATTCTGATACTGAGGGTGTATGCCTGTGAGTCAGAACATCTACTTAAGAGGTTACTTTCAAGCTGGGCATGGTGGTCCATGCCTGGGAGGCAGGAAGATTGAGAGTTTGGGGTCAGAGAGGGTAACATAGTAAATTCAAGCTCATCTTGAGCTATGTAATGAGACTGTTAAAAAAAAAAGTGTATAAAATAAATAGGATCCTTAGATAGGCCCAGTGGTATAGCTGTGCAATGCAATTCCAGTCACTCAGGAGAACTGTGAGTTCACAGCCAGCCTAGCTAGACAGTGACTCTAAACCCTGCCCCCTTAAAGTGCAATACAACAGACAGTATTTCCTATTATGATTCTATGAAATATCATACAAGTCTACTGTAAATTAATGGGTAGAAACATTTTACATGTTCAGAACTGCTAAGGTTCTACCTAAGTCTGTTCTGCTGGGCTCTGCTAGTCATGAGTCTCTCAAGATCAATGCAGAGAAAACTGTCTGGCTATATCTAAGAATAAATTTTTTTCCCCCAAATAAATTTACAGATGAGGTTATCTGTGCAGATTTATACATCTCCAGTCCCTTTTTCTTTTCCAAGTATTTACCCAATCCAGTCTTCAAAACAAGTCTTCTATTTCCATTTTAAAGTGAGATAAAAAGGGAGTTAGGTATGTTAGGTTAGGGTCAATTTTGCATGAAGCCCTATCTGAAAAAATAACTGAAGTAAAAGAAATAAGGATATGCTCAAGTGGTAGAGTGCTTGTCTAGCAAGCATGTGGCTCTGAGTTCAATCCTCAGTATTTCACCCCCCCCGCCCCGCAAAAAAAAAAAAGAGTAAAAGAAAGGAAGAAAAAGAGGAAAGAAGTAAGGAAAGGAGGGAATAAGGGAACAAGAAAAGGAAGCAGGAAGAGAGGGAGAGAGGGAGGGAGGGAGAGAGAAAGGGAGGGAAGGAGGGAGGAAGGGAAGAAGGGAGGGAGGGAGGGAGCGGAGGGAAGGAGGGAAGAAAGGAGAGAAGGAGGGGTGGGAGACATATAATGGGGTGTATAAACAGACTATGGAAAACACATGATAGCACTATTGGGAGAAATAAAATTAGAGAGGGAAGGAGACTTACTTTTTGCCTTTATAAAAATAATCACATTACCAAATATCAGTTATGGAAACAGAAAATATCATTAATTTCCCTAACATGAAGGAAAAATCATCACAAAAAGCCAGAGCTGTTTCTTTTCTTAAGTTTGAGAACATTACCTTTCCACTCTTCTATCGTGTGTTCCCTTTCATCTAACTGCTTGTCAGGGATCTTTGGTGGTGGCTGAAAAATAAAAGGTGATAAATAACTGAATCTCTTTGTAAGAAGTACACGAATTCATTGATAACTATTTTAAATCAGCCTGACAGATTTGTAGAAGTGCACCATGAGACATAGACCAACAACCACTCACAGTCTTCTTATGAAGAGAAACTACTCTATTTCAGGAAGACATTTTTCTTTTCTTCAGCCTTTTGAAACTGTTATGTTTTACTTCTATCATACAATCTCATACAACACTCAACTTCCTCTGATTAAGGTAAGAAGGTGAGAAACCCTGACAGGTGATGTGACTTTGTGAAAGAGGGGCTTATTTTGTTCATGAGCATAATGTATTTTTCATGCATAAGTAGGAGAGGACCAGTATCATCTACATTGCTTTTTAAATCACTAGGTATGCTCCACACTTAAGTGTTAATTCTAAGAATGCAGTCAATGCACTCTGCACATGTTGAGGAAAGTGCTTACGGCCTCTGCTTCGGAAGGGTCGTACCAGACGTTGATATAGGGGTGCTGCAGAGCTTCATCCACTGAGATCCTTTTGGATGCATCTATCACCAGCATTTTGGACAACAAATCCCTTGCCTGACTGGCTGCAAAGACAATGATATTAATGCACATGTGTGTAGATTCTCAAATATCAATAATGTTTCAAAGCTGAGATTATTATGTTTTTCCAGTCATGGGCTTGAAATCAGGGCCTGGGCACTGCCCCTGAGCTCTTTTGCTCAAGGCTAGTGCTTTACCACTTTGAGCCATACCTTCACTTCAGTATTCTGATGGTTAATTGGAGTCTCATGGACTTTTTCACCCAGGCTGGCGATCCTTAGAACTTAGCCTCCTAAGCAACTTACAGGTGGCAAGCCACCAACGCCTGGTGAGATTATCTTTTAAACAAATGTATTTTTTTTTTTTTGGGTCCGGTCGTGGGGCCTGAACTCTGGGCCTGGGCGCTGTCCCTCAGCTCTTCAGCTCAAGGCTAGCGCTCTACCACTTGAGCCACAGTGCCACTTCCGGCTTTTTTCTTTTTGCTTATGTGGTGCTGAGGAATCGAACCCAAGGGCCTCAGGCATGCAAGGCAAGTGCTCTACCACTGAGCCACCTAAATAACAAAGACTTCGCTTTGCTAAACTACTCAGAGATAATATTAGTTTTATCTTGTAAGAATATGAAAAAAAAACAGCCCCTAACACACATCCAAAACAGGATTTAATGGGGGGGATGGTGTGTGTGTGTGTGTGTGCGTGTGTGTGTGTGTGTGCGCGTGCGTGCGTGCGTGCGTGTGTGTGTGTGTGTGTGTAACTTACCTTTAAGTTTGTTGTGCTCTGAGTCGGCTGGAAACAGCACATCAGGGAAGAGTTTTTCAAAGCTATATCCGGCATACTTAGGTCTGTTTTCGACATAAGTCCTTACTGTTGGTTGCAGTTTCTTCATGAATTCAGGACATGGTGTTCCAAGCTGTTCAATAACTTTATTCCACTGATCAATATCTAATATCAAGCAGCTAAGAAAAATACTCCATATTTACTGTTTAACACATTATATCCGTATCAAAACACAGGTGGAAAAGGTAGAAATTCTAAGAAAGAATGTGGCAGTTATAAATTTGTATCTCACAGCCACCTCTGCAAAAGGCAATGATTGTAGGTGGATACAAATGATCAATAAATAAGCTTTGTTAACCTTATTTATCGTGTGTATATATATAATGTGAATGCATATGTAATTTTACCATGAAAATGGAAACTTAAACTCTGAAATTCTGAATATAAATCGTAAGCAACTCAATAAGAAATGAACATTACTAGCCATAGGAACTCTTAGTCATGAACTGCAATACAGAAAATATGCCTTCTTTCCAACCAGTCAGAACATCTGAGTACATTTTCTAAAGAATAAGAAGTATTTCTATAACCTGTCCTGCTTTTCTGAATTTTCTACCTAACAAAGATGACGAACAGCATCAAAAATGATAACTGATAAAAGTGGCACTTTCCTTTGCCATTCTTTGTTGACCTTATATCAACAGACCTTCTTTTAAAAGGTCTGAGATGCATAAAAAAGACTGAATTGTTTCGTAAGTTGTCAGGTTATGTATGATTACCTGATCTTCTTCCTACTAGTCTTTAATCTTGAAACCTCTCATCCTGTAATCTAGTGAATTCTTCCTCCTAAAAACCATTCTAAATGTTATTCCTCGAAAGCATGACACTGTTAATTATGAAAAGTCTAATAATCTAGTCAGTACCATATAAAACTATCACTGCTGAAATTCTACAAGAAAGAATCATGTTATGTTGAGTGATAAGACAACAATCAAGACACAAAACACACAGAACATTAACACAAAAAGGAGGTGGGAAACAAAAAGAGAAGGAGGGCCAGACAATTCTAAATTTCATATTAAGTCCTCAGTATTTCTAGACTTACTCAAGTGTTTAATGATTAGAAAATTTTAACGCAAGCCATGGCATTTTATTTGGGTTAAGTCAATCAACTCAAAGCCAGCCAGTAACTATAGATAATCACACTTGAGCCTTTTCAGAATTAGCAATATGAAAGGATAAATGAGGGAAAGGAAAAGTCTCTATAAAATAGTGGTGGTATTTTGAAAGAGTAAGTTAATAATACTTTATATTAGGGAGAGACAATACAGTGGACCTGACCAGGCTGAAATGCTATCGTACATTTTGACCTTTAGAAACTATATTTTAGGCCAAAGATAAGGATACGATCTGTACCTGGGAACAAAACACCACCTTTGATCATTTCTCCCATGATGCACCCAACTGACCAAATGTCAACTGAAAACAAAATGCAATGACATTAACATAAAGATTTTGGTTAAAATAAAAAGAAACTATATAAACATTAAAAAAAAACCACGCACACCATGTACACTTTAAAATCATAGAAAGCAGAACAAAATAAAAATAAGTGATAGTGAATGTGCTCTGACTACCAGCAGAGACTGTATGTCCTACTGCCAGATGCAGCCTACAAATAGTTCAGCTTCTTAGCTCAATGGGTTTTGGAACTATAACAGCCACAAACTTTACATCAGCTTAAAAACACCTCCATGTATGAATGTAGCATATTCATTTTCATTAGAGAACATAAGGAAGCTCATCTCCTAACTAATTAATCTGCTGCAGCAGCACAAGGATACAGTCCCTTCCTGGAAAGAGGATTTTGTGGCAAACCATTTCTCCCATAATGCACCCCACAGACCATAAATCCACTATATGTTTGCAGCACGAAAGAAGGAAAAGCAAAGCAAAAGGTCATTAAAATCAAAGAAGCATAATATGATTGTGTTATATAAAAACTGCAAAGCATCACAGAAAACCATGATTAAAATTTTAGCTAATGGAATAATTCAAAACAAAGTATTTTTCAAAAAGCTTTGGTTCACAAAAGAAAATGTAAACTGTGGCATTTTAACTATATATCTAATTTTAAAGTGAGAGTTATGCACAGATTGAATGAATTTAATAAAGCTGTACACTTTAAAACTGAGAATTTGATTAAATATGAAGTAAACCCAATGAACCTGTAAGCAAAGCTAAAAATGTAACATACTGTAGTAAAACTACAAAAAATATACTATCTTGTGGTTAAAATGCATTATACTGTGCATTATTCTCTCTCTTTAAGTCAAATAAAAGAAAAAAAGCATGAGCAGAAACAATTTAGCATATTAAAAGATTTAGCAAAAACAGTGTCTATACTTTTATAGTTTAGATATTAATCTAAAGAATTCTTCAGACATTTTCAAACTGGCTATCACAAATTTAATCTGAAATCAATTATTTTCTTGGCAACATCATTCTACTTCATTTATACCACTACTCCTAAAGGAACAAGTGCTTAGAGGATGAACAATCTATTGAGAAAATTTAATAAACAGACATGTATTTCATATACTTTCATAAAACCAAAGTACTATGAGTTGAGGAAGTTACTTTTGGCTGGACAAAGTATGCAAATTCCTATAAATTTATTATCTACCAAGAGTCTCCTGCCAACTTTAAAGAGCTCTGAGAAGTGCTAAAAAGAACCCACTATACATAGAAATAGACAATTTGGAAATCTCTTCCTGTTTTCTAAAGTTAATCACACACTGAATCAATTTATACCTTTGAGTTTGACTTTTAAAAGAAGAGTGAGAAGGTATTTGCAGTTTAATAGGAAGACAAGTGAGAAAATAAGTATTCAAAAGGAAATGCCTTAAAAAACTTGGCTTTAAGTATGAAGGTCTAGATTCTTTAAGAAGAAAAGGGTAGGATTAGATGTTAGAGAGTGATGCCTTTTTTAAAATTTTGAACTCAGGTCCTAGGTGCTATCTCCGAGCTCTTGTGCTCTACCATTTGAAGCACAGCTCCATTTCCAGCTTTTTGGTGGTTAACTGGAGATAAGGGTCTTACAAACTTTCCTGTAGAGGATGGCTTGGAATGGAGATCCTCAGATCTCAACCTCCTCAATAGATAGGATTACAGGCATGAGCTACTGGCACCTAGCTGAGTTAGCTGCCCCTTATCCACTTTGGTGAACTTATAAAACTTAAGCTGCTGCTTCCTAGTACATTGCTAAACGAAGACTGCAGTCACTGCAGCTAAACTGGAAGTAACTTCCCGAAATCCTCTGTAACTGAGATTTCCCTAAAATCTCATATTAGAATATGCACAAACTTCTATTTATAGCAGGATCCAATTTCAAGGAAACAAATCTAAAGAAGTTAATACTCAAATATTAGCTTACCAGAAAATATTTTTCCATTGTTTTCATTTTTTTCACAAAAATAAATTAGAATAAACTTTCTCTATAGATTTTATTTAAAAAAATGGCAAATAAGTTAAAGAAGGACACAATTTACACTGGGATTCTTTAAAAATATTTCTAAACAAAAAGAATTTGAAAGGTACAAGTTAGAGAAGTTATTTTTAGGGTTAGTGAAGACTGATGATATAAGCTTTATTCACACATAAAAACTTGCTACAGAGGACTGGTTAAAATTACATTAGATTGCTCCACACTGTTCAAAATGTTATTAAGTAGCCTGCTAGAAAAGACTTTAGTGGCAAATCAGGCATGTGTGGGGAATGTCTAAGACAAGTGTTTAATTTATTTACCCTTGTTCATTAACACAGTTATCAGGAATGTGAGTGAGCGTTCCACTTTACTGTTTTCTGGTGGTGGTGGGATAATTAAGACTATCAGTCTAATTCTTATCCAACTTCTTCATGATAGTGTCTTATTTTTCCAGTACTAGGATAGGAACTGAAGGCCACAACTGCTTGTCTTGCTTGACTGGCAGTCTACCAGTTAATCCATATATCTCCAGTTGGGTTTTTTTGCTGGTAATTTTGGAGACTGAGACTCACTTTTCTGCTCCAGCTGACTCTCAATCTCTGGATCTCAACATCCTGAATAACTAGGACTACAGGCATGAGTGCCACTGGAGGTGGCTCTATGATATTTTTTTCTTAGTGTACATTTCTGATATGAAGCTACCCCATGGTCATATTCATAGGACACAACACATTGTTAGTATCTGTGACAACTGCTAAGTTTCACAGCAAAACAAAAACTTCATGCCAGTTACTTCAAGTATCAATTTAAGGTATCAATCAAACAAAACCTTCAAATTTTAGGTGTAGATTATAAAAATAGAACAGTATGGTTACTTAAGAACAAAATATTAATAGCAAAATAGCTAAAATCCCAATTCCAATGATATTTTAATAAAAAACTAGAGTGAATGAAGTTTCTGGATTCAAAGTGAACTGTGATTTCAGTTTCTTTCCTAGAGAAAGGAAGTCTTTTTTGTTTTGTTTTGTTTTTTTTTTTGGGTCCGGTCATGGGGCCTGAACTCTGGGCTTGAGCACTGTCCCTAAGCTCTTCAGCTCAAGGCTAGTGCTCTACCACTTGAGCCACAGCGCCACTTCCGGCTTTTTTTTCTTTTTGCTTATGTGGTGCTGAGGAATTGAACCCAGGGCCTCGAGCATGCAAGGCAAGCGCTCTACCACTGAGCCACCTTCCCAGCCTTCTTTTTTGTTTTTGTCGGTCATGGGGCTTGAACTCTGGGCCTGAGCACTCGGCTCTTCAGCTCAAGGCTAGGGCTCTACCACTTGAGCTACAGAGCCACTTTCAGTTTTCTGGTGGTTTATTGGAGACAAGAGTTTCATGGACTTTCCTGCCCAGGCTGGCTTTGAACTGCGATCCTCAGATCTCACCCTCCTGAGTAGCTAGGTTTACAGGTGTGAGCCACTGACACCTGACTAAGGAAGTCTTATTCTACAGAGTATGTGGGATTAATTTAAGTAACCAGTTTAACCCAATGCACCACTTGACTATAATAATACTATAAAACCATCTTATTAAGACTGGAACGAAGCTTTGATGAAACATTACTGTTTTTCTCTGAGAGATCACCTTAATAATCCATCAAGCAGAATGGCCTTATTGCAGCTCTCCAAGTTTACAGAAAGTGTTCCTGATATTAGCATTCATTTCAGGTGTTAGAAATATGGGCAAACCCACTACAGCATGCTAAGACTGCCACTGAGACTTTCACTCATACTTCCTGCCTCCTTGTATACCAAAGTACATACTCAGTTTCATGTTACAGGCAAGCAAAGGGCAGATATTCTATTCTCATGTAGAAATGGATTCTTATGTGAATAGTGTTAGCATTTAAGTAAATAAGACTCATTTTTTCAGATTTTTAGCATAAAACCTAGTGATACTCAAGTGCATTATCACCTGATAACTCAGGCGTATTTCAATTTAATTACGTAAGAAACCTAACAAATAAAAGAAAGCAAGAGTACGAGAAGAGTATTTCAAAGATGTGTGTGCTGACCGTTCTCTTTGTAGCCCATGCCTAGGATGACCTCAGGCGCTCTGTAGTAGCGAGTCACTACATAAGGGGTCATCATAAAACTTGTTCCTGCAGTCCTCGCCAGGCCAAAGTCCAGAATCTTCAAAGTGCAGTCTGATTTTACTACTATATTACTGGGCTTTAAGTCCTTCAAAACATAAAAATAAAAAAAAAATGATTGCTAAGACACATACCATGATCTTGCAGTTCACAAGGAGTTATCCTGGAATTTAAAAACAAGTGAACCTAACTTTTCACTATTCTATGATGTCACTACACAGATTCATCATAAATGGGTAAACCTTAGAAGTCAGATTTAAGCCACTTTTCAAACGAAGTTATCAACAGAAGTTAATCATGCCTTATTTTATAGAAATCATTACTAACTAGAAATTTCTGATCAAACACAGTAAATGATTTGGTGGGAAAGGGTAACAGAGAAAAAAAGATTTACAAGGCATCTTAAAGCTCAAATAAAACTATTATACCCAATATAGTGGCCCATTCCATAATCTCAACACTGAGAATCAGAAGGTTGAGGCAGGGGGATCAGAGTTTGAGGGTAGCTGGAGCTTCATAGCAATATTCAGGGATCACACCCTCCAAAAAAAAATCAAATGAGGCTGGAAGTGTGGCTCAAGCAGTAAAGTGCCAGCCATGAACAAGAATTTAAGCAAGAATACAAAACCCTGAGTTTAAGTCACGGTTTAAGCACACACACCCCCAATCTTAAAAGCCAGCTTGCACCTGGAATCCTAGTTACTCAGATGAGACCTAGAGGACCAAGGTACAAAATCAGTCTGGGCAGAACAGTCTGTGAACAATGGAAAACAAACTAATTCAAAGGCAAAAGACTGAAAGTCTTCACCTTCAGGAAAGAAATGAGACAAAGATGCCTACTATTTTCATCACTTCATAGTAGTTAAATGTAAAAAAGTCATGAAGTGAAACTTGGGTGTAGATGGTTAAGATTTATATTATATATAGAAAACTGCTTTAAGAATACATGTAAGATAATTATAAAACTAATACATTCATCACAGTTGCAAGACATAAGCTCGATATACAAAAAACCCCAATTCGTTTTCTATATAATAATTTGAAAAGAAAAGAACATAATTCAATTTATAATGGTTTCCAAAAGAAGAAAATGCCTAGGAATAAACTATTAAGGCAAAATATATAAACACTTAAAACCATAAACAGAAGTCCCATGTAATGAACTAAATTGTTTCCCTTGCCTCTTTTGTTTTTTTGAGGGGAGGGTGCTGGAGTTTGAACTCAGGGCCTCATCCTTACAAAGCAGGACTTAGCCATATAAGCCACACTCCCATCCCTTTTTGCTTAGGTATTTTTCAGGTAAGGTCTTGTGTTTTTTCCTTGGATCAGCCTCAGATCATGATTTTCCTAACCAAGCCTCCCAGAGAGTAATGCACCACCTCCTTGGGCTTACTTTTTGAGATGGTATCATTTACTTTTGGCTGGGGCTAACCTCAAACTACAGTCCTCCTGAGTAGCTAGGATTATAGAAATGAGCAACTGCACTAGGCTCATGCCCCCAATTCTTACGTTGAAGCAACAAGCCTCATTGTTGACCTTATTTGGAGACAGGGTCCTTACAGAGTAATTAAGGTTAAAACAAGGCCATAAGACTGAAACTCTAATCCAAATAAATTGATGTTCCTATAATAAAAAAAAAGTATGGCATTTTAAAATTCTCATGCCACCAGAAAAAAGGCCATTTAACACAAGAAGATGGCTGACTATAAAGTAGCTTTAGGCCTCACCAGAAGCCAAATTTTTGGCACTTTGATGGAGGATTTTTAGATTCCAGAACTTGAAGGAATTAAAAAAAAATTTTGTTTAACACAATCTTTTATATTTTATTATAGCATAGAAGACTTAGGGAAAAGGAAAGATAGCAGATGTTCACAAATTAGAATATCAAATATTCTTAACATGATGAAACTACTCAATTTATACATTTAATGAAATCCTTAAACCAAGAGAAAAGTTGATCCTCAAATTCCTATGTATCCACAATGAGCCCCAAATAGTGGAAAAAAGAAACCTGAAAAAGAACAAAGATGGAGGAGTCATACTTTCTTATAGAAAAATTTAATATAAAGCTATTGGGATCAAAAAAATGTGGTACCAATATATGGCCAGATACAATAACAATAATACAAAAATTCTAAGAGTTCAGAAATACAACCATGAATCTATAGCCAGCTGGGTTCTTTCTGCTTATTTTGTTTTTTGACAAGAACAATAAGACCATTCACTGGGGGAAGAATACTCTTAACAGCTAGAGCTGAGACACATGAAAGAATAAAATTGACCCCCTATTTTGGTTTACACCATACATAAAACAAGCCCAAAGGAATAAAAAAGATCTCACAAAAAAAAAGAGATGAGTTGTCATGACTCTGAATTTGATCATGGATTCTTGTATATAACACCAGAGCACATACAACAAAAGAAAAACAATACCAGATTTCATGACATTAAACTTTTCACATATTAACACATCAACAAAATGAAAAAAGAACCTAAAGAACGGGAGAAAATGTTTATAAATTATGTAGTGATGAAGATCTATTATACATAATAAGGAACTTCAACAACAACAAAACGAGTAACAATCCAATTAAGAAGCAAAAGGTTTACATGCTATCTCCAAAGATAATGCACAAACTGCCACCAAATACATAAAAAGACGGTAGACATCAGTAGTCATTAGGGAAATGCAAATCAAAACCACAATGAAATACTGATATCCACTCTGAATTAAAAAGTTTTGAGAAGCTACATGGGGAAACTGGAACCTTGTATACTGCTTCTGGGAATGCAAAATGGTACAGCTGCTTTGGAAAAGTTTTATTACTCCTTAACAAGTTAACCATAAAGTTACCTTAAGATGTAGCAGTTCTACTTCTGATGTACATACCCAGAAGAAATGACTAACAGCTATCTGAACAAGCATTTGTATGTGCATTTCACAGCAGCACAACCCCTAACAGCTCAAAGGCAGAAGTCTACTGATGTCCACTGATGGATAAATGGACAAAAGTGGTAAACAGAACACAAAAGAAAAAGAAGTACTGGTGTATGCTATAACACAGAAAGATCTTAAAAACATGCCAAGTGACAGAAACTAGACATGAAAGGTAATACATCATATGATTCCACTTGTATGAAATCTCCAGAACAGGTAACCCCTTAGATACAAAAAGCTGATCAGCACCATGGTGAGAGAAAGGAATGAGGAGTGACTGCCAAAAAAGGATATGGGCTTTCTCTCAGGGTGATAGTATATTCAACATTTGGTGTACACTGTGAGCAGACTAAATGCGCTGAATTGTATACTTTAAAACAGTTCATTCTGTGATATGAATTTCAACTCAATGATTAAAATGAGAACATGGTGATAGAATTTTCTACTAACCCGGTGAATAATTCCAGCCGAGTGAAGGTGCTTGATTCCACACAGCATCTGATAGAGAAGGTAGGACATTCTCTCATGATCTAGTTCCATCTGAATCACTTGGCAAAGATTTGCATCCATGAGCTCCATTACTATGTACCTTCATAGGTGGAAAAAGATGACAGCTAAGGTATACAGCAACAATCTTAAGAAAAATAGCAAAATTTTATACTAACAAAATGTTAATTACCATACTTACACATCTTGAAATTCTTCTAGGGATTTCTGTGGTGTGAAAACATTCAAAAGACCAATTATCTATGGTAAAGGCAAAAAGAAAAATTAGACGCTACCTCCTAATACTTTATTTGGAAACTGTAAACATAAAAAATTTATTAGTTTAAAATCTTTCAAATTTTATGTTGTAAATTCAAATAAATTTATTTTATATAGTAAAGCATATGCTAGGGATTGGGGAAGAGGAAGGACTAGAGACCTACAAGATCTTCAGGGTAGTGAAAATGGATAATAGAAAAGTGTGTGTACATACACATATATATGTATATATATATATGTGTGTGTACATATATGTATATATATATGTATGTATATATATATACATATATGTATATATATATATATATATACACATATATATCATACATTTGTTCAAACACATAGAATACACCACACCAAGTGAATTGAGGCTGAGGAATGTAGCTCTCTGCTAAAGTGCTTGCCTAGCATGTACCAGGGCCTGGCTGGCTTTGATCTCCTGCACTAGGTTTGGGGGAAGTAAACCTATAATGTGTAAACAATGGGCTTTAGGTCCAGCAATTCTAACAAACTCTGGTAAGGGGTCATTGATTTGAGGGATGGTGTACATATATGGAAAGGTGAGAGTTGTATGAAAACTCTTTATGCCTTCCTCTTAATTTTACTATGAATCTAAAATTGTTTTGAAAGTTTAAAAATAAAAACCCTATCAACAGAAGGTTTTCCCCTGTAGTCTATTGTATTTATGAGCACTTTATTAAGGACTAGTATTACACAATTATCTACCTATTGTTCTTAAACACATCTACCAGTTTTACCCAACTTATTTCTATAAAATCTGTCATTTCTTGACAAAAATCTGTCATTTTTCTAGTTCTAAATAACATTGCACTTTTCCACCTTCCTTCATTTCTAGTCAAATTCAGTGATCCATACACAGGCATACCCTTTCTCACTACCATCTTTATAAGGATATTCTTCTCTCTTCTACCCATCCCATGAAAGAAATTATCTATGTTATCATCTCCAAACATCTATATGTAAATAATTCCCCCAAATGCATTGGAAGCCTTTGCGTAGCTTCAGAGTTTCAGATACATACTGCCACTTACATGGACATCATGAAATTAAGGCACAACTTTCATTTCTATTCAAGCCCCTTATGTTCTTCAGCATGCTCTCACTTTTACAATAGAAGACTCAGACTGATTATATATATGTATCTGCTATAAGCCATTTATACTTTCTTTCTTTTTTTCCTTTTGAGATAAGTCAGCCTCTTTAACAAATGGCGCTGGGAAGACTGGCCATCTACTTGCTGAAGACTGAAATTTGACCCCCACCTCATTTCTTACCCTGTACAAAAATCAAAGAATTTGGTCAGACATGAAACTTTAAATCTACTACAGGAAAACAAAGGGAAAATTCTGCAAGTTTTCTCAATAGGATTCCAATTTTCCGGAAAACAAGAACAAGAATTGAAAATTGGGCATCAAATGAAAAACTCTCAGCACGCCGGGCGCCGGTGGCTCACGCCTGTAAATCTTAGCTACTCAGGAGGCTGAGATCTGAGGATCACAGCTCAAAGCCAACCTGGGCAGGATAGTCCATGAGATTCTTATCTCTAATTAACCACCAGAAAACCGTGGTGCTGTGGCTCAAGTGGTAGAGTGCTAGCCTTGAGCTGTAGAGTTTGGGGACAACGCCAGGCCCAGAGTTCAAGAACCATGACGGACAAAAAAACAAAAAACAAAACTCTGCACAACAGAAACAAGACACAACCACAGAATGAGTGAAAATCTTTGCCAGCTATTCAATAAATAAATGATGAATATCCAGAATTACAGAGTTAAAAAAAATTGAACACTGGGCAGGAAGGTGGCTCAGTGGTAGAGTGCTCACTTTGCACGCATGAGGCTGTTGGTTTGATTCCTCAGAACCACATAAGCAGAAAAAGCCAGAACTGGTGCTGTGGCTCAAGTGGTAGAGCACTAGCCTTGAGCTGAAGAGCTGAGGGGCAGCGCCCAGGCCCAGAGTTCAGGCCCCAGGACCAATCAAAAAAAGAACATAAAAAACAAATAGAGCAATTAATGAATGGGCAAGTGACTTGGAAAGTCTCACAAGAAATACAAATGGCTAATAGACACACGAAGAAATGTTCAACATCCTAAGTCATAAAGAAAAGTTAAAATATACTAAGATTCCATTTCACCAGTTAGAATGACAATCATCAAGAAAATGTAATAATTATTGGCAAAGATGCAGGGGAAAAGGAGCCCACATAAAATGTTACTGAAATGTAAACTAGTGTAAATTAGTATGGAGGTTCCTCAAAACTAAAAATAGACCTATCATAAGCTAGGCCCATTGTACTTTTAGGCATTATCCAAAAGAGTGTAAATCAATATATAAGAAAGTACCTGCATGCTTATTATTATTGCAGTGCTGTTCACAACAAGTAAATGGTAGAATCAGCTAAGGTGCTCAAAAATAGATGAATGGGTAAAAAAAATGTACACATACACCATGAAATATTAAAGTCATAAAGAGTATGAGTCCAGAGGCTGAGATCCTGAGGATCTTGTTTCTAAGCCAGTCTGGTAAAGAAGCTTATGAGACTTTATTTCAAAAATAAACAGCAAAAAGTCGGGTGGAAACTCATGTGGTAGAGTGCCAGCGAAGCAAGCAAGTCAAGCAAAGTTGAGGACCTGAATTCAAATCCCAATACTGTCCCTAGCCCCCAAAATACTAATTAACAGGGGATGGAGGAAAGGGAGAGAAGGAAATAAAGAGGATTGTTCTGGGCAAAATATAATAAACACATATCTGAAATACCATAGTAAAACTTATTGGTTGCAATTAATACACACTAAAAACAGACTCTGATGGGAGACTAGAAGGGGGAAGGCTTACCAAAGACAGTGCACAAGGGTGAACATGATGGAAGCCCTTTATGTGCATGTATGAGAATAGAACAATGAAACCTGATTGAAATTGTTTTAAGAGGGAGTGGGATGGGGCAGAGTATAGAAGGGGAAAGGGTGATTGGACTACATTGTATAAATGTATGGAAATGTCACAATAAAGCCCTACTTGTACAATTAATCCATGTTAATAAAAACAAACAAAAACAAAAGTCAGTCACTTGCTGTTTTTTTTTTCTAATGGGAATAAAAGAAACCATCAATCATAGATTGGATAGTCTAGAAAAAACTCATGTATTGATTAGTAGGTGGTATAGGATTACTTTGGGAGAAGTAATAATTATCAGAGAGGAGTAAAAAGTCATTGATTCCTTCTGTGGACAAAAATCAACAAAACCAGAATCAATAAATGAGAAAAATGCAACTAGATATATTATATGAAGAATTTAGAGGGGCTGGGAAGGTGGCTCAGTGGTAGAACGCTTGCCTCTCATGCATGAGGCCCTGGGTTTGATTCCTTGGCATCACGTAAGCAGAAAAAGCCGGAAGTGGTACTGTGGCTCAAGTGGTAGAGGGCTAGCCTTGAACCTTGAGCTGAGGGACATCGCCCAGGCCCAGAGTTCAGGCCCCACGACCGACAAAAAAAAAAAAAAATTAGTAAGATTTCATGAAAACGACTCCAGTAATAACATTCACATGAATAAGATACAGAATAAGGGATACTTTTGACAGCTTCACACATAATTTCTGTAATATGCCCCCAAATTCCAGCTATTATGAAGATACACTGAGCAAAACTGGGAAGTAGACCCAATAAATTAAGAGTCAAAGAAAAAAAGCAATGTCTCATATTGTAGGGAGAGTAATTAAATTTTACCTTTGAAATCTAAAGGTGGCAAACTAATAATAAGTTGTCTAAAACCAAAAAAGAAAAAAAAAGGAAAAATGATGGATGCGACATTACTTGCTAGCAGGCCTCCAACAAAGAATTATTTGTTAAGACCATGTGAGTGAAATGGTGACATGATTTCTAAACATCATTTAATGCTTATAGTGCCAGTTCCTATCAGAGAACTTGATCAAAGTACAAAGGGAAGTGATCAGGCTAAAAGAGAAACTCAAATTCATCATGAAAGACACTCAATCAGCATGTTTTGAGCAGCTCCTGCCAAGAGTAGCAATCATGTGATACATGCTTCCCACATTTCCACTTCTTGACAGTCACCTAGGCTTGGTGGGGAGGAGGGACTGGACACCTCAAGGAAGGAGAAACTAAGTTAACACCTCGTCAGCCCTCCTCGTAAAACTGGGTCCACAGGTGACAGGACCATGAGTAGCTACACCCAAGAGTCACCAGGCCATAGCGAGCAGGACAAACATGTCTGGCTTCTTGTTGGAAGAAGAAGGGCATCCCCAGCCAGATGTGTCTGATCCAGTACTTCATAAAACTATCATTGATGCAATTTTCTCCTAGTTTATTTCCAGTTGGCTTGGACCAATTATTCCATTAAAATAATCATTAAAGTATCAGTATGATTAGTGTAAAATAGAAAATATAACAGAATGTTTTCCTAAATCTCTTTAAAGATTTTTTTTATAAGTTTAACCTAACTGCTTTATAATCTCTTATTAAGCCAGGTGTTGGTGGTTCGTAATTGTAACCCGAGCTACTCAAGAGGCTGAGATTTAAGGATTGCAGTTTGAAGTAGTAGTCTGAGACTCTTATCTCCAATTAAGCACCAAAAAAGCTAGAAGCAGAGCTGTGGTTCAAGTGGTAGAGCGCTAACCTTGAGCAAAGAAACTCAGGGATAGTGTTCAGGCCCTGAGTTAAGCCAACACACACACACACACACACACACACACACACACACACACACACACACACACACACACACACACACACACACACACACACACAAATCTCTGGTTATTTTCAACACAAAGTAATCAGTGAGTACTGATATCACTTAAGGAGAGGGGCAGAGCTATGAAGAAGTGATCAGAATTGTGTATCCCACATACCACCCTGAGTTAAGCCAACATACACACACACACACACACACACACACACACACACACACACACAAATCTCTGGTTATTTTCAACACAAAGTAATCAGTGAGTACTGATATCACTTAAGGAGAGGGGCAGAGCTATGAAGAAGTGATCAGAATTGTGTATCCCACATACCACGGGCAAAGTAAAATGGAAAAAATTTCATCTCTGTTGTCTAGTTTTCTGAAATGCTAGCTTTATAGAGAAGCAAAAACTGAGCTTAAGTATAAAGTTCTTCTAACACACTTCTTTAAAACTCCTTCTATGAAATCTATGTTGGGAAGTTACATAATCTAAATTTCAAAAAGCCATTTTTCTTTTGATAATATTTACCAAAATTGAGGGACAAATGTACACTTTGGATGTGTATGTCTGACATATGTACACATACACATACCTCTGAAATGATGTTTCAAACCAGAAAACCAATTTAAAGACCCTAATATTTAAAAATATTAATATTTGTGCATGCATAAGTAAATCTTAATTTCATTTCATTTCAGAAATCCGCTTACATTTTTGTGATTAACACACTTCATAAGCACTAACTCTCTGTAAGCCCGCTTAGCATGTGTTTGGTTCTGAAATGGTCGGCTTAGTTTCTTGATTGCGACGTTTCTTTCAAGAATGGCATCATAAGCTGCACTGTAACAAGAAATTAAAAAACAACACTTGAGTAAAAGCCCATAAAACTGAACTGATGAAATACTCATGCATATTATTTCACTTCCTTAAAGGTAAATACAACTGTTCATTCACCATTTTGCATTGCTCAATCTGTGTCCTCTATCCTTATACCTCTTTCTTAAAATGCTACTGATTCACAACTGAATGAGAAGAACAAAACCTTTGCTTATTCACTGCGTGTCATTCAAGACCTCCCCAGAACAGGTAGGCACTGAACGTACCTATGCATAGTGTTTGGGTCCACTAGATAGCTTAAAAGCTGCCTTTACCTACATCAAGGAGAGGCAAAATAAACATGTGGTCACAAGTTTTACTCAAAATACTTGTTACTTTGAGTAAAAAAAAAAACGAAACTCCTAACTCTACATAAATATTTCAATCTTTTTGGACACAAGAAAAAAATACTAAGAAAAAGGTACATACAGAAGTATGTACCCCAATTTTTATTTTGTAATTAAAAATGTAACTTTTTTGAAGGAGGAAATAAAATTGGTGAGTTTTGAACTTAAACCTGACGGAGATAGCAGAGGATGCTTCATAACATGGATGTACATAAACATTATATTCATTACCCTTCAAGTCTTTCTTTGTACCCCATGGCAGTGACTACATGTCACCTCTGGGATATATATAACAGACCAGAGAAAGTAAAGTCAAGATAAAGTAACTTTTTAAATTAATTTTATGCTTGAAAGACTTATTACTGCTTAATATAGAGTCAACAATTAAGCAACTTGCCCAAAGTTAGCTGAAACTAACACTGAGACTAGGAGACATACTGGGCTATCTAACATTAGAATCTTTATGAAAGACTATTCCTGCTTATGCAATACTTGAAGGCCAGCCCTACATTGATTTATTTCCTTGACTGACTGAAAATTTGGATCTGCATTGTAGCTATCTCATCATATGAAATACAGTACAGAATGATATGGATAAAGGTACTGGTACAATATAATGGATATTTGTTGGTTTTTTGTCAGTCAAGTGGCTTGAACTCAGGGCTTGGGGTGCTGTCCCTGAGCTCTTTTTGCTCAAGGCTAGTGTTCTACCTCTTTGAGCCACAGCACCACTTAAGAGTTTTTCAGTGGTTAGTTGTAGAAAAGAGTCTCAGGGGTACTTTTCTGCCAGATCTGGCTTTGAACCGAGATACTCAGTCTCCTGAGTAGCTAGGATTACAGGTGTGAGCCACTCGTGCCTTGCTTACAATAGGTATTTGTACACATTCTATGTGTACCATAACTACTGCATATAAATGTATGTGCATACAGTTTTTACTTTAAAAATGTCCTTTTTTAAAAAATAAAACCACATGCAAATTATTAGAAATTTTTGGCTGTTCACGTAAGGGAGGTTTTATTTGTAGCCATTAAATTCATTCTTATTAATATTTACCTCTTAAATCAAAGGAATATTTCAAATTATGAAGGTTTACAAGTATCTAAGTAGACTTCCTGGTGCCTGCCACAGGCTATGTTCTTACACTGAACCGAAAGAGGAGGCAGAGTAAACTTACCCCACAGAGTGTACCTACACTACAGCCCAGGCCCTGTGCAGATTCTACCATTTCATATCCAAGGAAATATTTTAAATTCTTTATTCATTTTTTTAAAAAATAAGGAAATGTCTCATGAATTTGCATGCCATCCTTTTCAAGGATTATGCTAGCCTTCTCGCATCACTCTGATTTTAGCATATATGCTGTGGAAGTGAGTACTATTTATTATTAGTGTGAAGTTATGAAAAACATATGAAGCTTCTGCAGACCCAATCCAGATCCAGTCCACCTTATTATATGTAAGCTGGGTTCCACAATGAGCCTTTTACATTTATTCACAAATTAAGTTTTTCTGTTGCTTCTGTTTGTGTTGACAATGAGTTTTGACATTTTCACATTTAATATTTGTCTGTTTCACAAAAAATCATTTGAGGAAATTAAATAATAAAGTGAAAATTGGAAGATAGATATTCTTTAGGCAGTTATTAGCAGCTGGTCAACAGGACTTAAGCTCCCTTCTAAAGCAAAGTTTTGCTTTTTAATTCTGGTATGAAGATTTCAAATTGTACTTACCAGAGAATAAGTGAAGGAACAGAAGCATCAATATACTTTAAAATATCATTTAATACTTCATAAATAACATGTTCCTTCCAACTCTAGGTGAAAAGCAGGCTTTGAACTGTTAATCTGCTAAGTCACCAATCTAGTTACAGACCTAGAGTCTAACCAAACGGCTAGTGTTCAGAACCCTAGTACTGACTACATAGCATTTAATAACATTTCTCTAATTTATGGTTGGTTAAATGTAGTTGATTAAAATTATGGTTGAAGTTGGCTGCCAATGGCTCATGCCTAGCTACTCAGGAGGCTGAGATATAAGAATGGTGGTTTGAAGCCAGACCAGGCAGGAAAAGAAGTGAGACTCTTTTCTCCAAGTAACCACCAGGAAACCAGAAATGGTACTGTGGCTCAAAAGGGTAGAGTGCTAGCCTTAAGTGTTTTTGAAAAAGCTAAATGACAGCATTCAGGTCCTAAGTTCAAGTCCTAAGACTGACAATATATAAATGAACACATAAATATAGTTGACTAGATAGTTTATAAAATGATTCAAATTTCTACAACTTTTGGAATTATAACTGCTTCAAGAATATAGAAAAGAAAATGAGTACGTTTCCATATACAAGTCTGCTTTACCTTAATGTTTCACCACATTTGCTCTGATTTGTTTTAATAAATATATTATAGGTAAAGCCCCCTTTTGTTCTGAGAGGTTAAGAAAAACCCTTAGTTTGGTAAGCATTTTCATTTTTTCAACATATGTCCACATCCATAAACATATGGTATTGTTTTGTACATTTTAAACTACAAATGGTACAATAATGTCCATTTTGCTTTTACATTAAATTCTACATTTCTGATACTATCCTTGTTGATACAAAATGTTGTACAGTATGTCAAGACTATCTTATTCTCCTGTTGTTAGATAATGCTCTTTCTAATTTTTGCTATTGTAATAGATACTTCACATGTGCAAGTTTTTCTTGAACCTAGCAGAAATGCTGGATCATACACACTTCAGATTTTTAAATGGATTTTCAAACAAATTTGGTTCAAGAAGATATAATAAAGATATAATTATGCTAGAGTGCAGCTTAGAATTCCCCCAAACACTAGCTTATTATGCTAACTTAGTGATTTTGCACCATTAACAGAACTATCCCAAGGAGAGTGTTTTACATTTTACTTTATGAGGAATTATGTTGATCTATGAAGACTAAGCCTCTTATAGAAATTAGTTTGTAAATCAATTTTAAAGATATATATGATTTTTACAGTGAAATGATATTAGCTGACGTCATTCCCTAGTGTGAAATAAGATTTCTGAAGTCCTAGTTTTATTAAAGTATGAAAGTGATGATTTAGTAATGTTCTTACTAATTAGCTATGTGAAGACATGTGTACATGGAAATTAACAAAACCCCATTGACTACTTACTAATATAGACATCTGTCTCTAGATGGCTTATGACCAAGAAGTTAATTATAGTTTAAAAACTTACCATACTATTCCTTGAGCTCCAGAGCCTATAGGTTTCAAATTCTGGTATCGTTTTAGTACTGTGAATGTAGAATCTCCGATCTCTACACTATAAAAATTGTTGTCACGTTTGCTTCTACTCATGATGGCAAGCAATTAATTTAATGGCTTCATCCAAAAGTTCACCAAGAGGCTGCAAAATGAGCAAAATGTAAACTTAACCTTTTTAAAAATTCAAGACCTTACTCACTGCTCATTGATATTTAATAAAGACTGCTAGGTTATGTTCAAAGCGGTCCTTCATTACTAAGCATATTAAGAATAAACACCACAGAGCCCTGGGTTATTAATATATGCCACTCTTAAGTAAATGACTGGCAATTCCCTTTTGAAACATTTTTTAATAGAATAAACCGTTTCTCCAGTCTGGAAATCTAATTGAAAGAGTAACCAGAAAAAGCAAGTAATTATAATTAAACATGCTCTAAAAGTCATCTTCAGTTTAAAATGCAAACCAGTCCTTTTATGTTTTTTATTAAAGAGTACTGAAAACTGTTTTTGTGAGAAACTGATAAATTTTTATTATAAAATAATGAAGTCATATTGTAGCTGCCTAATAAATAAGTTCCCACATTGTGAAGGATCCATTGACTCCTACAGTGACTTCTAAGTGTAATGCCTATGCTGAGGTCATAATGGCTAAAAGGAGAGAAACAAGGTAGAAGGCACAAAATCAAGAACAGGAAGAGAGAGATGCACTTACTATATTAGTATACAAACAATGTTCTTCTAACAAGTTTGGAATATCAAAGGCAGTCTCTAATTTCTGACCACAGTTCTACCTGTCAAGAATCAAGGCAGTGGTTCTTTTGCTTATCTGAGTGATGGACACTGACAAACCTATTTTCCTTCCATCCTTACTAGATGAAAGTAGTCTATTCTAAAATACAGGTAGCAGGGCATGGTGGTGTATATCTAGAGTTCTGGTACTCCACCCAAGAGTTCAAGACCAGTGACATAGAAACATCTAGTCTCAAACACAATGAAGCAAACAAAATACATGCAAGACTGATCTAACTGAACATCCACCAATCCAATAAATCATAAATCCTCATCGGTCTAAAGAACTGCTGTGTGTGTGTACACACATGCAGGGCAGGTCAGAAAATATGGTAAGAAGGGGAATTCCATAGTGAGATAGATGGTGAAGAGCAAGAGATCTTTGGTATGAGGTGATTATCTACCAGAAGGAAGGAGGAACAAGAAATGAGACATGAAAACTAGAGAAGCTACTATAATAATCTAGATGAGAGCCTTACCAGTCAGTTGGCTGGGGTACTGTTAGATATGTTTTGGGACTGTTGGGAGTGTCATATAGGATTAAGTATACTAACTCAAAAGGAATTCAATAAGGCAAAGTTTACTTCTGCAGAACTGTTTGCCATCGCCCAAAATCTGCCAAGTAAGCACATAGAGGGGGCAGGCTGCTTCTTTTGTATCCCTAAGAAAGCAGACCCTACCCCTATAACTGAATTGGCTGAACTCAGGTTCACAATCTGCAATAGGATGTGTCTTTAATTAACAGGAACAGGAAATCTTAATGAACAGAAATGAGATGTAACTAAAATTCAAAGAGCTTTTAACAGGAGTTCTTAAAGTGTAGCAGGAATAGATACAATCAACTAGAGCCAAGCCACCTGGCCAAAGCAGGAATTTTTCAGAAAAACAATTCTCACAAGATTGACAGAAAAGAAGCTTTACTCAGGGTCTTTTTGCTCTACTCAGAAATCCTAAATAGACAAGTAGCAGTAGCTCTTCTAGTGTCCACAGACCTGGGTTCTTAAATGCCAAAGGCTTATTGGGCTGGGTTGTTAGATTCAGAGGCTTATAGCTTTGAAGCGAGTCCTGAGAAGTGGTTCCAGGCTTTAGATGCTAGAGACTACAGGACTAGGTGTTCAGGTTGGAAGCTTACTGCCTGGGCTTTGCCAGTGTCCCAGCACTCAGCACTTAGTGTAATCTTCAGCTCTTAGCAGCAGCTAGTAGCAGTCAATGCTAGCTAGTGTCCCAGCTCTTGAGCCTTGGATATAAAGACTCAGATTGAGTGCTGCAGCTCTTAGGCTGAGGTATCAGGACCCTTAGCTCTTTAAGGCTTACAGTTGCCTGGAACTATTTCTGTAACGAGGCCTGCAGCCCATTGTTTTCAGCTTGTCTTGGCTTTCTATAACTTATTTTTGTCATCTTTGCCATCTTTAACTCCTGCTGTCACTGCTCCCACAGCACTTTGAATCACTTCAGCCACCCTCCTGCCACTGCCACTACTGCCACTGCTGCTGTTCTGTTATTTCCTCTTCGATATCAATTCAGCCTCACTGCTTGCAATAAAAAAATCAAAAGCAGGCATAAAGAAGATTTATACTGAGCCTCTTAGAATACCAGGTGAATAACCTACGATGGTATCTAGAAAAGTGCCTAAAGTAAGCCTAGTTATGCAACTAGAAGGACAGTACTGCAAGGATGTCTTCACCAATGAGAGGCCTGCTTCAAGTATAGCTTTGTAAGGCTAACAAATGGTATCTAGAGTGGTCATAACTGAAGCATGTCTTCAACCATGGTTATAATGGTCTTCTACAGCTGCTTAGTGTCCTCAAAGTGACTGTGAAATCCAAAACAGGCTACCATGAGAGAGAACTGGGTAAGTACCAGTAAAGAGGCTGCTTAGCAGATAGTTCCCTGCCAGGCGTAAGGGAAGAGTCTGTTAAACCACTTTTTTCTTGGCAGGTTTAATCATTCACAGAGAACATATAAAAGGTATTTACAATAAAGACTTAACAAAAACTCAGCACAGAACCAAAAATTCTAACAGCATTTAACAGTACATAGTAGTCTTCATAAACTCTAATGTAGTAAAATCAAAATTAAAGGAGTCCAAACAGTATAAACTACATAAATGGGAAGCCATTAAATAATCAGCTTTGATAAATTACACAAACTTTCAAAGAAAATTCCAAAGTCAGTAACCAGACTAGTGAGGAAATGCTCCAGGTGAGGACTATCTAACTTGACCTCTCAAACTGCCTAAGTAGACAAGCCATAGGAGCAACCATGGAGTGCTCACAGAATGATTAATCAACTTCCTACCTTCAATGAATTACATTTTTTTGACTATAGTACCAAATCAAGAAGAGAAGTGATAAAAGGAAAAGCAAATGTTGGGTGTCAGGCCCTTCAATAAATTTATTCTGGAAACTGGATTCACCAACGGAATAGAGATTTGCAATAATAATGGTCAAATGGTCAAATATGATCAGAGGCTGAACACTGAGCTGATGCTGTTTTCTCCTTCTGGAAAGTTACACAAGCTTCATTCTAAAGCAGTAAAGTACCCAGGAGTAGTATTCCTCTCCTGAAGATTAGGATCCAGAGAGAGGATGACTCTGGGTGCTTCACAGGAGTTTATAACTATTACCAAAGTAGGTAACAAAACGCTTTGCTTCAATTTCCCAATTTGCTGGATATCTAAGAAAAAGTTGAGTAAATCTAGGAACATACTCGTAGGGCAGGTTTCCCTTTCTGTTAAACGAATTAATAGCAAAGAAATGCTTTTTTTTATTCTCAGAACAGAATGGCCCAGAAACAGGAAGAGGATTCAAAGAGTTCACAGGAAGTCTGAATAAAGCCACAGAGACAACTAAACATCCATAGTCATCATGACTCCCGAGGAGTAGGAGACAGCTGCCAAAATCAAGTAGGACACTTCAGCCAGTGGTGATCTCCCTTGGCAGAAACCCCAGCTGCCATGTCTAACAACAGGAGATAGAATTGTCTACTCACATAAACTCAAGCACCATGGACACATCAGGAACCAGCATTTACGTAAAGACCATAAAGCTGAGTATTATGTGACTGATGGTAACTAAAACTGATTAAGGAGAATCCTGATGTTCTAGACTGATACAGACTTCCCTTACAACACAATATGTAAGCAAGATCTAAATACTGAATGAGCTAATTAGATGTGAAGAGAAGGGAGCTTTATAGGTAGAAGAACCAGCACAAGAAAAGGCTCTAAAAAATTCACCAAGCCAGAAATGTGGCTCATGCCTATTATTTTAACTCTTCAAGAGGTGGAGATAGAAGGATTGCAGCCTGAAGCCACCTGGGTAAAAAAAAAAAACTCAAGATCCTACCTGAAAAAATAACCATAAACTGGACTGTGAGTGTGATTCAAGTGGTAGAAAGAACACTTGCTCAGAGATGCGAGGGCCCAAATTCAATCCCCAGTACCAGGAAAAAAACAACTCGCCATTTTAACCAAAAAGCTTATTGAGTTGTGATAAATGCATGTAAGTATGTAATCAACCACCATCAAAATCATGACAGAGAATATTTTCTATCACCTTAAACTATTCTCTATATTCAGCCACCATCAAAATCATGATAGGCTATTTTCTATTACCTCAAAATGTTCTGTTGTCCATCTCTGCCTGATTCCTTTGCTCTTGCCACCACAGAACTGCTTAGAATGTTTCTTCTTCCACTTTCTGCTTCGAACCTCAGACTGTCCTTTAACTCACTCCATAACCAGGGCTGGCTTTGACTTTAGCCTTCAGCCTCAGCTTACTATGTATTGAAATTACAAGCATGTCCCACCACATCCAGGCCTAATGCTTTTCTGAGTCACCTTTGCTGCATTCCTTTTTATTACTAGGTAATATTCTACTGTGTGATGTACCACTTAGAAGTTTACATGGTTTCCAGTTTACAATTATGTTAGTAAAGTCACATGTTTTAATTTCTTAAAATTTAATTTCTTAGGCTTTAATTTCTTAGACTGTCCTGGGCAAGATAGTATGTAAGACTCTTATCACCAATTAACCACAAAAAAAAAAAAAACAGAAATGGAGCTGTAGCTAAAGTGGTAGAATACCAGCCTTGAGCAAAAACCTAAGGGACAGTATCTAGGCCCCGAGTTCAAACCACAGTACTGGCATCAAGAACAATGTAGGGCTGGGAGTGTGGCTTAGTGGTAGAGTGCTTGCCTAGTACACAGTAAGCCCTGGGGTCAATTCCTCAGTACCACATAAACAGAAAAAGCCAGAAGTGGCATTGTGGTTCAAGTGGTAGAGTGCTAGCTTTGAGCAAAAGAAGATCAGGGACAGTGCTCAAGCCCTGAGTTCAAGCCCCAGCCCAAGG